TCTAAACTCCCCATCCTGCACACCACACTCTGCACATCCTGCACACCCTGCACATCCTGCACACCCTGCACACCCTGCACACCCTGCACACCCTGCACATCTTGCACATCCTGCACACCCTGCTCACTCTGCACATCCTGCACTACTGGGAATGTGCACAAACACACAAACTCACAGATTTTCTGCTTTATATATTCAGAGACTATGCATAGGGAAGTCCCTATGAGAAAGAATAACAAACAACAAAATGGCAACAACTGAATCAACAAACAACAACATACATCACCGATCATGAGACTGCAAGCGTTGTAGAATACGTTTAAAGGTAGGAAGTTTTACTACAAATGCCCTACCTCTGACAAGCTTATTCACATCGTGCAAAACACGACATGAAAAAAAATTTCTTCGCACAGCTAGCTTACATCCAAGAATGATAAGCTTTCTCGAACCACCCCTGATAGTAGAAGGCTTATTGTTAGTAGCAAAATAGAGGTTCTTGTTGAGGCCGCATTAACCATAGATTAACTTAGAGCCAATATCAAGTCAAACTTTCGTCTTCTGCGCGCGAGAGTGGATAGTCCAAGATTCCTATTACGCATGTTACTGTTAGGAATCTGATCGTATAGGAAACCAACAGTCCTAATCAGTAAATTGCGCTTAAAGCTGTTTTGTACTTTCTCAAGGTATTAAACAGTCTTGCGCTCAAAAGGGCTGTATATAACAGTTCCATACTCAAGCATGGATCTTATGAAGGACTAGCTGGCTTACCCGGCTCCGCCGTATCCGGACCAAACTTGGCACACATACACTTCGGGCCCCGGCGGGTGTCACAGTCCACTTTTCGTTATCGATCGATGTCGATTTTACCGATTTTTATCGATTTTTTGGCAGAGTTCACCTACAGGGCTAGGAGTTGGCACAGGGGGGAAGTGAGCATGGGGATTCCGAATACAATATTAGTTTTCAGAATTATCGATTGCTTTTATTGATTTTATCGATTTTTTGGCAGAGTTCACCTACAGGGCTAGGAGTTGGCACAGGGGGGAAGTGAGCATGGGGATTCCGAATACAATATTAGTTTTCAGGATCGTCCATTACTTTTATCGATTTTATCGATTTTTTTGCAAAGTTTGACCTGCGGGGCTGGGAGTTTGCACAGAGGGTAATCGAGCATGCAGATTACGAATACAATATTAGTTTTCAAGATCGTCCATTACTTTTATCGATTTTATCGATTTTTTGAAAATTTGAGCTAGGGGGCTGGAATTTGGCACAGGGGTGTTCGAGCATGCTGATCACCCCCCTTGGGGATGATCAGCATGCTGGATTACCCCCCTGTGCCAACTCCCAGCCCCCTAGCTCAAACTTTGCAAAAAAATCGATAAAATCGATAAAAGTAATCGATAATCCTGAAAACCAATATTGTATTCGGAATCCTCATGCTCGATTACCCCCCTGTGCGAACTCCCAGCCCCGTAGCTCAAACTTTGCAAAAAAATCGATAAAATCGATAAAAGTAATCGATAATCCTGAAAACCAATATTGTATTCGGAATCCCCATGCTCGATTACCCCCCTGTGCCAATTCCCAGCCCCGTAGCTCAAACTTTGCAAAAAAATCGATAAAATCGATAAAAGTAATCGATAATCCTGAAAACCAATATTGTATTCGGAATCCCCATGCTCGATTACCCCCCTGTGCCAACTCCCAGCCCCGTAGGTGAACTCAGCAAAAAAATCGATAAAAATCGATAAAATCGATATCGATCGATGACGAAAAGTAGCCTATGACACCCGCCGGGGCCCGTAGTGTATGTGTGCCAAGTTTGGTCCGGATCGGTTCAGAAATGGAATTTTCTATTCGGAACATACGTACAGACATACAGACAGACAGACATACATACAAACAGACATTCAGCTTTATATATAAGATTTATAGGTTTTCAAAAGAACAATAGGGTCCTTAGTTGCAAGTGCCCTAAACAGGTTGTAGACAGCCACTGTTGTTTTATCGGCAATATTCTTGCAATGGTCATCAAAACTGAGATTCTTTGTAACTAACAGGGGAAAGATACTAACTTAAATTCGCCTTCTGAGATGATACACATTTATTTGGAATCAGCTTTGAATGCTAATTCTAAATATGCTGTTCCTAGCTGCTTAGCTTTATACCGAAGCGAGTTATGGTCTCTTTTCTATGCAAGGTTTGCGTGCTCCTCGACTTGCTAATGCTACGGTGTCGAGGTCTAGGTGGTTTTGCATATGTATAATGCTCCCTTTCAAGATCGAAAGAATTGATTTGATGCTAGTTAACATCCCGGCACTTTTTTGAGCAGATTCTAATCTACACGCCGTCTTGTGACATTCAGAAGTTTGTTAATTACTCACAACATCAACCCCATAACTCGCTTCGGAATAATGCTAAGCAGCTAGGAACAGCATATTTGGAATCAGCATTCAAAGCTGATTCCAAATATATGTGTCTTATATCAAAACGCGAATCTAAGTTAATATCCTTCCCTTATAAGAACCCTAGGTCTCTCATTGAGTCAAGCGACTCAATCGTGACTTCTCCCATTGAATACGAGAAATTTGAATTTCTTGGGCCTACATGGAGAGCTTTGGTTTTTTACTTTGAAATGGGAAGACCCAACTCCTGCGACCAGGTAAATACGTCATTTAAAGCATCTTGTAGGTTTTACATCCCGCGTCATCCATGATCACCTGATATAATTTGAAGTCATCAGCGAAAGCGCAACACGGAACCCCTCTTGACAGTGGTATACTCGAAAGCTCATGAGTATATACAGGGTGTCCCAAAAGATGTATCGAACGTTTGATCGTTAATATCTCTCTTCCCAAGAAGTCTTTTGCCTTGCTTTAGGTACCGTGTTGTAGAGCTGGCTTCAACTTAGATTTGCATTATAGAATGAAACACCCATCTCTCTTCATTACTGTTGGATTACGGTAGAAACTTGAAACATATGGTGTCAATGTGGAAAAAGCTGCCGTTTCAAAATTTTCAAAAAAATGTGAAAACTTTTGTATTGGAGTTTTTATGGACGCTGAGTTCAATACTCAACTATTCACAAGATTATGAAGCTTTCTAAACCGTGTAACCGCACTTTTTAGGAACATTGAAAAAATGGCCGCTACCTCTTACCTGGCATAACTCTTCAATAAAGCATCATGATAGATTGGGAACTTACAGTTATAATCAGCAACTCTAATTAGTCTAGTGTAAAAGTTTTCAGGTTGTTTTGTCTCTTTTCCGGAGCAAAATATGCTTTTCATTGCTCAAAACCCTCTTTCAAGTTTCTACCGTAATGCTACAGTAATGAAGAGAGATGGGTGATTCGTTCTATAATGCAGATCTAAGTTGAAGCCAGCTCTACAAAACGGTACCTGAAGCAAGGTAAAAGACTTCTTGGGAAGGGAGATATTAACGATCAAACGTTCGATACATTTTTTTGGGACACCCTGTTTATTGAATAAGATGGGCGAGAGTACACCTCCTTGAGAAATCCCACGCTCCATTTTTCTAGGAAAGGAAAAGACTGAGCCCATGCGGACAACAAAGGACCTGCCAGCCAGAAGAGCCTTTATCCACTCTACAATACGTGGATGTATTTCGACTGCGACAAGTTTGGCCAACAATCTACTGTGAGGCATCTTATCAAACGCTTTGGAAAAATCTAAGTAGATAACATCTGTATTCAAGCCATTAACTAAATGAAGAGTCCAGTCATTCATAGATTGAAGCATCGCAGTGACAGTAGATTTGCCCCTTTGGATCCATGCTGATACGGGGAATTGAGTTTGATGTTAAGTGATTAACAGTGTTCTTCAAAATCTTCTCGAAGACCTTTGAAAATATGGATGTGATGCTTACAGGTCGAAAGTTATTGAGGCACGTTAATGGTTTCTTCTTGGGTATAGGCCTTATAAAGGAAACTCTCCATCTTCGCGGAACCTCACTTCGCATCATGCTCAAGTTGAATATGAATGAATTGGGCCAGAGTTTACATGAGCAATGGACTTTATAAAATGCAACGGCAAAAAGTCAGGTGTTAATGAAATAGATTTATGCTACTTGATTAGAAGTTGGTAAATCTCATCACTTTGAAACCAAACTCCATCGGCCATTTGACTGAATTTATGTGTTAGATCAGAAGCGTTAGACATTTGCGGAACTGCCTCTTCGACGAATGATTTTTCAAAGGTATTGGCAAAGCATTCTGTCTTATCTCCACCACTACAAATGACTGAACCCTTTTCTGTGATCAAAACTCCAGATTCGCTTACATTTTTGTGTCTAGACTTGATCATTTTGAAAAACAAATTACAACTCCCCGAATTAATTACTTTCTTCTCAATAGAGGAGTTATACATTCTAAGCCTCTTAGAATGTACAACTGTACAGATGCTGATTATGAATTTAATAGCCGTTTGCGAATATATCCATTGCTTTTATTGATTTATCGATCCGTTGCAGACTTTGAAGAACAGGGCTAGGAATGGGTGTAAGGGTGGGAGGGGAGGGGGGAGGGGGGGAAGATAAGCGAGCACGCTGACTACAACATAGAAGAGGTTGGTGGCATGCAAAAATGGGACAAGGAGATGTTGTGTAGGGGTACGAGGGAACGTGAGTTCTAGTATGCTGAGTTAGTAGGGACCGAGCGAAGCCGGTATTTTAACAGTATTCATACTTCTTTCATAAGGCATTCCATTGAAAGAAAAGATTGATTGATTGAAAGAAGTCGATTGAAAGTTGATTGTCAAGTTACTCTTTGACTGCTGCAATCGTGTGTCAACTGCGACAAATCCCATGCGCTTCTAATTGTATAATGATTTAGTAGATACTTTGTTCTGGTCTGATGCACGCCATCGCTGACCCACGTTTTGAATATCATGTGCACAATAATGAAGTTGAAATTGTTTATAGCTCCTAATGAACACTGAATTAAGACCGCTAGGCAAATCCCGACGGATTCTGTAGGTCTATGCACGTCGAGCAGCAAGGAAACGTCGATGGAAGTACCCGCCGGCCTAAGATTTATGCAGAATGACAAGAAATTCAAGAAAGTTATCAAAAGCCTTACCGATCCTCCATAAGATCCGCCGCTTCCACCACCGCCGTAGGATCCACCGCTGCCTCCGCCGCCGCTTCCGCCACCGCCGGAGTATCCACCGCTGCCTCCGCCGCCGCTTCCGCCACCGCCGGAGTATCCACCGCTGCCTCCGCCGCCGCTTCCGCCACCGCCGGAGTATCCACCGCTGCCTCCGCCGCCGCTTCCACCACCGCCGGAGTATCCGCCACTGCCTCCGCTGCCTCCGCCGCTGCCTCCGCCGCTGCTTCCACCGCCGCCAGAGTATCCACCGCTGCCTCCTCCACCGCTGCCGCCTCCTTGTCCGCCACCACAGCCGCGGTCGCCACCACGTCCACCGCCGCTTCCTCCACCGCTACTTCCACCATAGCCTCCGCCGCCGCTGCTTCCACCGCTTCCTCCACGGCCTCCACTACCGCCGCTGCTTCCACTTCCGCCGGATCCGCCGCTACCTCCAGTAGCGTAGCTGCCGCCGCCGCTTCCGCCATAGCCTCCGCCGCTGCCTCCTCCTCCACCGCTGCTTCCACCATAGCCTCCTCTTCCGCCAGACATTCCTCCTCCTCCACCAGACATTCCTCCTCCACCGCCCATCATGCCTCCTCCATGACCTCCGCCCATTCCTCCGCCGCCCATCATGCCTCCTCCTCCTCCACGGCCACCGCCCATCATGCCTCCGCCGCTTCCTCCACGTCCTCCACCTCCACTTCCGCCACTGCTTCCTCCGCCACCAGAGTATCCGCCACCGGGTCCAGTAGCGTAGCTTCCTCCGCCGCCCATCATGCCTCCTCCTCCTCCTCCACGGCCACCGCCCATCATGCCTCCTCCTCCTCCACGGCCACCGCCCATCATGCCTCCGCCGCTTCCTCCACGGCCTCCACCGCCGCCGCTGCTTCCTCCATAGCCTCCGCCGCTGCTTCCTCCTCCACCGCTGCTTCCTCCATAGCCTCCGCCGCTGCTTCCTCCTCCACCGCTGCTTCCTCCATAGCCTCCGCCGCCACTGCTTCCACCTCCGCCAGATCCGCCGCCACCACCGCCGCTTCCTCCTGTAGCGTATCGTCCTCCACCGCCTCCACCTCCTCCGCTGCCTCCGCCGCCTCCGCTTCCTCCGCCTCCAGAGTATCCACCGCCGCTACCTCCAGAAGATCCGCCACCTTGTCCTCCTCTGTAGTAACTTCCAGAGGACCATCCTCCGCCACTTCCGGAGGCTCCACCGCCCATGCCTCCTCCTCCGCCAGACATTCCTCCTCCTCCACCAGACATTCCTCCTCCACCGCCCATCATGCCTCCTCCTCCGCCAGACATTCCTCCTCCTCCGCCAGACATTCCTCCTCCACCGCCCATCATGCCTCCTCCATGACCTCCGCCCATTCCTCCGCCGCCCATCATGCCTCCTCCTCCTCCACGGCCACCGCCCATCATGCCGCCTCCGCCGCCCATTCCTCCTCCACCTGCTCCTCGGCCTCCACCACCTCCGCCTCTTCCTCCACCTCCACCAGCTCCATCAGAATTGTAAGCTTGTTGATCACCACCAGAAGCGCTTATCGGTGCTGGTCTGGGCTGACTATTCTCAGCCTCTTCGTATCCTGAACTTTGACGTTCGTATCTTGCTCCAGCATCAGCGATGACGAGGCCAACGATTGTGGCCAAGATTATCAGCATCTGAAATGGACATTTTTGCGTTTTTGCATGCTGTTTTCGAAAGCATGAGCAGATAAGCATTTCTTCTTTTTTTCTGTATGTAGGGCATCAATTCTACTTCTTGAATAGTAAAGAACAGTAGTATTAAGAGCTTGATGATATAGCAACTATAGCAAACATTGTCTATACTTATAATATCTTTTCGTGAGTAAAAATTAAAAAGCAGTGAGTAAAATTACCTTGAAAAAATTGCTGACTGAGAAGCAACTGCTTACTGCTCTTTACGATATTGCTTATATAGCATGGTTACAGAAAGCGAAGGTGCAGATTTCAGTTTGTTACCAGTTCTCAATGATAACCGCGGTTGACCTCGCTTCATCGAAAAACTAGTAATGAGACTATCATGAAGGTCACGGATTTTGATAGTCAAATATCGCTCCACCAGCGAACACTTGCGAAGCATTTTGCTTTCATCATTATAGTCGAACGCATCTTTTGCATCTGTCGAAAAAGTAACTTTCAGTTAGTCTTGAATGCGACATTCTTGCTTTGACAATAACAAAGCGTCTACCAGTTACGATGATTAGAGTAGTTCGAAGAAATCATTAGAAGTTAGAAGAGATCATCAGCCCGTTGGGTACTGCTAAGCTCATTTCGAGGTTAGCAGTACCCAAAGAAACAGTGATAAAGAAGCGTGAAAGCTGGGACGCTCAAAAATGTGCCATTTGTACTCAAACTAATTAACACGTTTCGGACCGCGAAATCGCGCGCGGCGAAAAAGAGTGCACTTTCAGTCATTAGCCAACAAAGGGACCTTATTTCAAGACTGTGTGCTACATCTGTAATCAGCATGTTATATAAGCTCCATACCCAAAATTCTGAGTGAATTCGAAGTGTTTGAATTTTGTCGCTTGAGAAGGACTTCTATGCTTTCTTGAAAGATAGGAACAAGAACTCAGTTTATAATAGTATCCAAAAGTATCTATGTTGTACACGCTACACATCAATATTGAAACCCCGGTTTTTCTCTTCGAAATCGGAGCAAAGAAAAGTGCGACGTCGCACGCGTCGTTCGCGTTGCCGCACTTCGTTGCAACTGTTGTTCGATTTGTCCTCTTATCTTCTAAACAAATATCAGCGGCACAGCTCTACAGAGTCATTCAAAAAGGAAGAGCTTAGGCCTTTGACTTGATCACCTTGGACAAAAAGAAAACCTCCTGTAAACGTGAAAAAAGATCCTTCAAAGTCGCGTGCTGCACCATGTGCAGCACCGGTCCGAAACGTGTTAAATTAGCCCTTTTTCCTGTAGCTCTTGCGAAATCTATACTAATGATGAGATGTGCAACCCAAAATGCATTTCGAAATGCTCATGTCAAAACTGCCCTCGATCTTGTGAAGGAGGTTGCAGTCTTTTTTTTTTTTCAAAGAAAAACTTTGTATCTCTGAATATCCTAATCGTCATGTTGGTCTAGTTTATGCTTGATGCTCCGACAAAATCGGAGGTGGAGGACTATTGTTTTCACACTTATTGGTCTAAAGCAAGAGTATTTCACATTAATATTTCGAATTATGTCGTAAGTAACAAACGTTTTGCACGCTCAGGCCTTTTGAAAAAAATTGCTTCCAGATTTCCCTCTATTCTTTTCAAACAACGAAGGATAAAATCATAATTAAATTGCTCGAAATAGTATCAGTTGAAGGAATTGCTACTTACAAATTTATGGCAGCTCACACATCTCCTCAGCGATTATCTTGAGTCAAAGCTAAAGAGATTATGACCAAGAAACTATAGAATATTAAGCTGTGCGCTAACTCTTGATCTTCTCTTTCAGTTTCTATTCCTCAATCATTGATAGAAAATTCCCACACATTTGTCAATTGAAAGAAGAAGCAAACCTGTAAGAAATTTGCGAAGAGACGTTTGATTCAAATTTTAATGCATCCGTTTGATTGAAGTAGATTTCATCTCGTCAATTTACTTTCTCAGCTTGAAGTTAGAGCAGCAAACACAAAAATGCCGCTGTCGAGGGTGAGTTATAGAAAAGTGTTTCAAACAGCTTCACTTATCTATACTTCACTGAATAACTGCTAGTACGTACAAAGTTTGTCGAACTATGCAGAACAAGATTTTTGGCGATTGGAACATACTCAGAACAGATTACGCGATATATTAGGTTGGACACTAAGTTTTGCAACTTTTCTCATAACTTCCCTCTCACTCAACATGGTGCACTCAAACTTTGGCATCATGTAGAATGCAACGTGAGCTACAAGTGAGCACAAATTGTCTGAATTTTGAACACGAAATAGAAAAGTTTCAGGCATTTTTCGAAAACTAGTAAAATTTGAGAATTTTTGAGGTTTCAAGCTAAAGTGAAGCCTTTGGCAGCCTAGACCATGCGCAGTAATCCGGATTCGTCTACAAATTATTGCAAGAGGTTGACTCCTTTGGCCTAGCAAGAAAGAAACAAAATTTATGGGCATGTCGAGATTTGGCGTCCTCATAAAGTCGAACGAGTCGATGTACGCAAGAGCTGCTGGGGACGACCGTCAATGACTAAAGAGTCCGAAGCTCAAATTCCGCCGAGACTTCACATAGTAAGGTTATTTGACCTGCCGAATGCGAATATCATATTCATTTCTTGAATCAACGCCTTTTTCCTTGTTTAGGGTGAGACCCCATATCGTACACCTACAGTAATCCTACAAAAAAGCCCTTATCACGCAATTTCACTATCGTTTTCGTGATCAGTATGTCGAATAACACCCCCATGCCAAGTTTCAGCCAAATCCGTCAAACTTTGAATTTTTCCCCTTCATACCATACACCTACCGTAACCCTCACTGCGACGTCAGAATTTGGTAGGACAGCAGCTGCGCTTGCAGTATACGTAATAACCAACACAGTGGCAAAATTTGAGTGCACCATGTTGAGTGAGAGGGAAGTTATGAGAAAAGTTGCAAAACTTAGTGTTCAACCTAATACATCTTTGATTCATTGATCGAAAAGTTCGCGTTAAGACTTGTTGCAAAAGAAACTTGCTCAGTGCTATGGGATTAGAACTTTTGCGAATTTCTGCATTGTTTTTACTTACTCGTAATATGACTACTGACTGGTGGATAATCGGTTAGTGATACAGCTTTGCAAAAGTTAGAACTCTTTTATAAGATTGTATCCGTCTAACATATCCAAATCACGGTGTGGAACTAATTCGTAGGCATAAAGAACTCCCTAAACTCCGGCGCAACTTGGTTCCAGTCATTCTTTCCAATTCTTTAGTGCATCCTCGTCTCTTATGAGCACCTTCATATTTGCGAAATACGTTTTTTCACTATCGATAAAGCTGAGATCTAATTGTGCGAAAATGCATGAATGTTCGGAAAAATTTATTCGACACATTTTCCGCATTTCTAAGAGTGAACGTCGTTTATAGAATGTACCAGCAATTTATCCGTTTACTTTTTACCAACAGAATTGTTATCAAAATCCTTGTTCAATTTATTCAGTCGTAAATGATAGGATGATTGCGGAATTGCGCACAGGGTCATTTGCTTTCAACACTGCGTCATTAATCAACGTTTAACATTTGCAAGTTGGCGATACGAAAAACTCAAAATTGTCAACTTTTCCATCAACTTTCCCACCTGTTGATATGAAAAGCAGTTTTGAAAGAAAGGTTGGCATAATTTTTTTTGGTAATCAGTATCACAACAAATGAATGCCAAAAAAAGTCCTCGTAAACACCAGATTCATAACAATCCATACTTTGTTGATGTACATTTTATGACTATTGATGCTACGCCCCTTTCATTTTTTCTTGGGCATTTCTTGAAATCGTAAGCATAACCATCCCCCCTCCCTTATTTGAAGGGAAGCTATCGCGCGCCTCCCGTCCAGTCCCTCACCCTGGCATTAAAGGCAGTGTCCGGGCAAAAACTCGATTTTGAGATTTGCAGCGTTCGGGCAAAAATTTAGTTTCAAGCTTTCTCATTTATTTGGGCTTGTCCAGTTCCTACCAACGCTGAGACGCAGAGTTGCTATAGGACCTACGAACTGCAGCGACACGCATATTCTAGCTCGCGGGGGTAGGGGACTATGGACTATAGTCGTGCTCATCCCACTGTCGCTCAGTGGACGAATTCAAGTCCGAACTGGAGCAGACCGGTCGCGGCAGAACACGGCTCCTGAACTCTCACATCGATTTAGAGGCTCATGCCAAGTTCTAGTGTCGCCTCTATCGCTGTTTATCTGTCCGTCATTATTGCTTGAATAAATGAGCCACATTACCAGATCTACAGGGTGTCCACATGAAATATGACACAACAGGAAGTACCTAACTTTGCAAGGAATGGACGAAAATAGAAGCTTTTATCTTCACCTGATAGAGGAAAGGCTGATAGAGGAAAGAATCCTGTATAAGATCTTTCAAATAGTTTTTGAGATATTTGTTCATGGCTTCGGTAAAATTACTTATTCTCTTTCAAATCTCTTTAAAAAGGTTCTTCGATTTGCGCGCAATGGTTTCTGGTCCCAACGTGCCGATATATTCGGCACCTCTTCCAATCTTATCAATTCCTCCTTACTTAGACTCCTTTGTAGCCTTGAGGTCACCAACTCGCGACCTCAAGTCATATCTTTGTATTGATATGCATTACCTTGCCTTGCTCCGCCTGTTAAGAGCAGCATTCTACCACTACCCAAATCAGGGTATGTTGATGTCTCAATAAAGCTTTTATAAGCTTATGTGTACTGTAACACACAGGAGCCGCCAAACTCCAAGTACCGGCTTTCCATAAGATAGGTCATCCACCACATCTTAGACTTTACCATAAGAGTGGTAAAGTCATCACACCCAAAGTCGTGGACTTCCCGCGAGAATATGCAGGGATGTTCGGGCCGCACGGTCTTCTGTGAAGGACCGCACAGCGCGTGGGTACCTTTCGCCGAGGAAGGTACCCCAAATTTGGGTAATCAAACTGGCACCTCTGCCACTGAGAGTCTCACCTTCGCTCGGCGTACG